ATTGGAAGAGAGGTAAGTGCATAACCTCGATAAATTTAGGAAGGCGAAGGAAATTTTATTTACTCTCAACACAAAAAACTAAAAACAAAACCGGCCCAGGTAATTAACACTATATATCAGTTTTAAAAGCTAGAGGTGGGCGTTGCCACATCAAACCGTTCCAAAGTATCTGACAATTATTTTAATTGAAAATTAATTTATCCAGGAAGAAAACGAGAAAATAAATTACTACAAGCTACTACTTGAGAGAACTATCTTCCTTCGACGCGTTGAGTGGGGAGGTTAGCTCTATCGCGAGTAGTAGCAACAGAAATATGGATTCAGATGATAATACATCCGATGACAATCGGAAAAGAAATAGAGAAGAAGAGGAACTATTATTTGGTCCCAGTAAAAAAGTACAAAGAAGCCCAATTAAAAGTCACAAAGATGAAAACAAAATAGATCAAATACTAAATATGATAAAAAATTTAACAATAGAGTTACAAGAATTAAAAACTGATATAAAAGAGGTAAAAACGGAACAAAAACAATACAGAGAAGAAATGAGGGAACTCAAAACTGAACTAGCAGAACTAAAACAAGAGAATAGTAAAATCTGGAAAGAAAATGAACAAATCAAAAAGGATCTGAATGAGACAAAAGGACGCCTTGAAAGGCTGGATAGAATAAGAAAAGAAAATAATGTGATAATACAGGGAATGACAATAGAAACTGGAGATAGAAGAGTATTAAAAGAAGTGATAGAAAATTTTATGACAAAAGAGCTAAATATTACTGTAAATATAGATGAAGCAGTGAAACTAGGAGATAAAACATGTTTAGTCAGATTGCCAAACAAAGAAGAAAAAACAAAAATTATGGAAAACAAAAGTAAACTTAAAGAAGTGAAAAAAGAAAAAATATATATAAACAATGATCTAACGGCAGAGGAATTACAAATACAGAGGGAAATACGAAGAATAGCAAAAGATGAAATAAAGAAAGGTAAACGTGTCCAAATTAAAGCCAACAAACTTATAATAGATGGTCTAGAAAGGAGATGGAATAGAAACACCAACCAGCTGGAGGACCATCATGGAGGTGGTTCAAAAAACTAGCAAGGGATGAGAGGATACATTATTCGTTGACGGACGAGGCAAAGAAACAGGAAATAACTGCAGATAAACCCGGGCACAACAAAAGTGAAATAAAGAAAAATGGACAAGAAAACAAATATAAAGGACGAAGACAACAGAACAAAAAAAATAAAGTGTTGAAAATAAGCACATGGAACATAAGAACTATGCTAGCTCCAGGAAAAATGCTAGAAATAGGAAAGGAACTCAAAAAGTATAAAATAGATATTGCAGCACTGCAAGAATTACGCTGGGAGGGACAGGGACAGATTGACAAACAAGACTTTACAATGTTATATTCAGGAGGAAAGAAGCAAGGGCAAAAAGGCGTGGGATTCATGATACTTAGTCACCTAAGAGAGAAAATTATAAGTTTCAAGCCAATATGCGAAAGGATGGCCTATGTTAGAGTCAACAGCAAACCATTTAATATATCAGTCTTGAATTTATACGCCCCCACAGAAACAAGCAATGCAGACGAAAAAGAAATCTTTTATGATAAAGTCGAAGAGGAGATAGAAAAAATACCCAAAGAAGATGTCATATTTGTACTGGGAGACCTCAACGCCCAAATTGGAAAAGAGGACTTTTTACAGCAAATTGCAGGAAAGCATACAATACACGAAAACACGAATGACAATGGGCAAAGACTATGTAACCTAGCAACAAGAACAAATTTGTTAATAAGCTCGACAAAATTTGAACACCCTAAAATACATAAGGTAACATGGAGGTCACCGGATCAGAAAACATATAGTCAAATTGATCACATAATGATTAATAAACGAAAACAATCGTCAATAAAAGATGTAAGAACGTTCAGAGGTGCGTGTGCAGATTCAGACCACTACATGGTCACAGCCATTTTAAGACAAAAAGTTAAAATTGAAACAAAACAAAAAAACCAACATAAAAAGTGGAATGTCAATAAATTGAGTAATGAAGAAGTAAGAAAAAAATATGAAGAGGCAGTAACAGTTCAAATAAAAGAGAAATATAAAGTAGAAGATATAAGCACAGAATGGGAGACGATCAAAAAATCAATAGAAGAAGGTGCAAATATGCAGATAGGTAAAAGTCAGGCTAAAACAAGAAACGAATGGTATAACCAAGAATGTAGAGAAATAACAGAAAAAAAAGTGCAAGCCAGAAATAAATGGCTAAGAACAGATAAAGAGGAAGACAGAGAAGAATATGAAAAATTAAGAAGGTATGCTAAGAAAGTGATAAGGCAAAATAAAAGAAGATGGGTAGACAAAAAAATGCAGGAAATAGAGCAGGAAAGAACAAACAGAAATACGAAAAGTTTTTACAAAAAGATTAAAGAACAAAACAAAAAATACAAGGGCAAAACAAACGGAATAAAAAATAGAGAGGGAATAGTGATAATAGAGGACCAAGAATACAAGCAAGTATGGAGAGATTACTACAGAGAGCTCTTGACGGAGGAAACAACAGAAGAAGAAATGCATGACGAGGAGGAAACAGTACACGAAGAAGAAGCAAATGAGGTAGACATCGAAATTTCAAAAGAACCAACATTAGAGGAATTGGATGAAGTAATACAGAGAAGCAAAAATGGAAAAGCCCCAGGTAAAGATGGAATTAATATGGAACTAATAAAATACGGGGGAAGGGAACTAAGAGGAAAAATACTTGCACTATTGAAAAATATATGGAAAGAAGAGAAAATGCCAGGTGACTGGGAGGTAGGACAGATCATAACAGTACATAAAAAGGGAGACCAACAAATCTGTGAAAATTATAGAGGAATAACATTACTAAATACAACATATAAAATATTGACATCAATAATAAAAAAGAGGTTATCAAAGATCACAAAGAAGACAGTAGGACAGTACCAATGTGGATTCACAGAAGGAAGATCTACAATAGATGCAATACACACAATAAAACAAATAATGGAAAAAGCAAACGAGTATAAATTAGAATTGGAAATGTTATTCATAGACTTCAAACAGGCATTTGATTCAATTAAAAGGAACGTATTAATGACAGCACTTAAAAAATTAAAAATTCCACATAAACTCAGAAAATTAATAGAAATGACAATGAGAACTACAAAAATAAGCATAAAGACACAAAGAGGAGAGACAGAGGAATTCAGTATAAATAAAGGGATGAAACAAGGAGATGCCTTATCAACGACGCTATTTAATCTAGCATTAGAATATGTACTGCGAAATATAAATAAAGGAAATCTCAGAACAAGAGGTGGTCAAATAATTGCATATGCAGATGATATTGCTATTATTGCAAAGAACAGAAAAATAATGAAAGAAATGCTTGAAGAAATAAGAGAGAAAGGAGAGGTAATGGGGCTAAGATTAAATCAAGAAAAGACAAAAATATTAAGATTAGGGAAAAAACCAATGAAGGAAAAAATCAAAATAGGAAGTTCTGAGTTTGAAGAAGTAGAATACTTCAAATACCTAGGAGTTACAATAAGTAAATCCGGAGAAAGGAAATCCGAAATAAAAGAAAAAATATTAGCAGCGAATAAAGCTTATTTTGCAAACAAAAGATTACTTAAAAGCAAAACACTGACTAAAAAAAGCAAGATGAGCATTTATAACACCATAATTAGACCAATATTATTATATGCAGGGGAAACAATGACGATGGTTAAAAAAGATGAAGAAGACTTAAGAATTGCAGAGAGAAAGATTATGAGAACCATACTAGGACCAATCAGAACAGAGCAAAATGAATATAGAAGCAGAACAAATGCAGAAATTAAGGAAGAACTTAAGGAAGACATTGTAACTAAAATAAAGCAATGCAGAGTTAGATGGTTAGGTCACATCTGGCGAGCAGGCGATGAGGCAGTGACATATTCAATGATAGAATGGAATCCAGGAGGAAGAAAGAGAAGGGGAAGACCGAGATCAAAGTGGCTGCAAGAAGTTGAAGAAGACCTCCAAAGGGCAGGAGTCAGTGAATGGAGAGGAAGAACTAGAGACAGGAAAAAATGGAGAGATATTGTCAAGAAGATAAGATAAAAAAAAAAAGACTGATCCACTTAAGAAATAGGATCTAGAAAGCATTTGCGGTTTAACCCCACGTTGGGGTGTATAGCCATTATATATATATATATATATATATATATATATATATATATATATATATATATATATATATATATATATAGGCCTCTATACGAGGTAGAAGTATGTACAGTACATCATGACTCACCCTGTATATTTAAAACACAACACTATTCAATTTTCATAGAATACAGTCAACTTTCCATGTGTCGCTGAAATATCAGCTTCATTAGAAGTTCAATTATTTATTTTGTATTATTGAACATGAATTTCCAGCAAGTAACCATCAATTTCATAAACACTAGATAGTTTTTTGTAAAAAAAAATTGTAAAAATCTTTATCCATTTTTATGTGGTTTTTTCTACTGTCAAATTCGTTCCAAACATTTATTTATCTATTCTAAACATCTTACAATGGTTATAACTAATAAAATAGTTCAATTTTTCAATGTATTAATAAATAAACTAGAATGTTGAATACATTTACCATCACTATTTCACCATAAAAAGAAAACTATTATGTTCAAAAGACCTTTATTTTATTGGCCATATGTTTAGATCTAGATGCTGTGCGCAGAATACACCGCACATGGTATTATTGCAATGACCTGTTACGGGATTGTAAGAGTGGTCGAAAACAAGGTTTTTGATTATAGTTGTTCTTGATTGAAAATTATCCATTTTATGTCTAATACTTTTATAATTACCATAACATTTCAAATAATAAAAGTTATACAGCTGCTGGCATGTAATCTTAAGCTTACTTCTAGTTATTTTTGTGTAACTTGGAACTCATTAACTTCTTTTTTTACAGCTATATATAATTGGAAAGGAGACACAAAATTTGGTCTTTCCCTGGAAATCGGCGATACTGTGCAAATTTTAGAAGAATGTCAAGGCTGGTACCGAGGATTTTCTTCCAAAAATCGAGCGCACAAAGGCATCTTTCCACAATCTTACATATACCTCAAACCATGTAAGGTGGATAACGAAGGACTTTTCGAAAGTGTAGTTCCGTTAGAGGATCCTATCGTCAGAGAAGTTACGCTTGTTCTACGAGAATGGGGAAGGATCTGGAAAGGAATATTTGTGGTATGTATTTATTTAAATACATAAAACATAAATAGTATGATGAAAATCACTGTATATCACAAGTGTACAAGAACCCTAAGAAATTATTGTCTATTTGTAACATAAGATTATAGTATTTGAAAGTTTATGTTTGAATATTACTGCAATTTATATTTTGAACCACAAAACGTTCGGCTTCCTGGTTCGATTTGACTCCATCTGAATTTGATGTGTGTGGATATAAGAAGGTTCATGGTTCGAGTCCGAGCTCAGTCAGAAATTTTAATTTTAAGCGTAGCAGTTAAAATCCTTAATAGTCCTGAGATCTTAAATTAGTTACGAGTGTATGAAGTTGGTAAATGAATAAGTGGTAAGGAGAAATATGAAGGGTCGCGGCTCGGTGAAGGTATTCTTTCCGAGTGAGAGGTATGTTGGGTTTGGATCCAGACTTTTTTACTATCTTGGAGGGTGCTTTTTGCAACCCTTCTGATTACTTTTAACCGAACTATAACTGGTTCTCTTCTGGCAATTTTATCAGCTCTTTCAGTACCCTGTATTCCCCGGGATCTGGATCCTATAGCAATGTGACACTTTCATGTTTCCCGCCAGCCTATCGAGTTCTTCTCGGCATTGCCACACTACCCTAGCTCTATGCGCATACTGTCCTTCATCTCCTATACTCAACCAAGACACCATCTCTAATTGCCTAGAGCAGTTTTTCTACTCCCGTCCGGGCCCGATGATTTCTATATTTAGGCAGCCGTGTCTACATTCAGTGTATATCTTATCTCCCCTTTAAGACTGTCTAAAAATCTTCTAGATCTGCGTGATATGCTTCCCAGTTCGTTTTACCAGAATTACCATAAGTTTGCTTGACAGACTGATTATCTGTTATCTCAAAACAGGTCTGTAGAGTGTCAGAACAAGACAAATCATCTGACACATGTCATTTTTCGGCAGTTCTAGCCACGTGAGTCGTGGCTACTGTTAAATCATTTGAGAGAACACGGAAGTTGGTTTATTTTCTACCTTTAGTATGTCGAAAACATATCCCATAACCATCCATCCATCCAATGGCACTACAGCCCAAGCCGGGCCTCGGCCTCCTTCATTAAACCTCTCCAAACATCTCTATTTACTGCTGTTCTTTTCCATGAACGCGTTTTTAGGAGATTTTTGGCATCCTCATCTACCTCGTCTTCCCATCTCTTTTTTGGTCTTCCAATAGGTCTTTTTCCTTGCATTCTTGCGTTTAGTAATTTTCTGGGGATTCTGTTCTCATGCATGCGGGCCACATGCCCTGCCCATCGTAATCTCTGCAGTCTAGTGTATTGTGCTAGTGTTGGTTCAGTGTATTGTTCGTATATTTCGTTATTATATCTAATTCGCCAGTTGTTATTTTCTTTTATTGGACCCAGTATTCTACGCAATATTTTTCTTTCGAACACGTCTAATGCATTGGTAGATTTCTGTGTTATAACCCATGTTTCACACCCATAACTTACTATGGGTCGGATTATTGTTTTATATACCCGGAGTTTTGTTTTCCGGTGTACGTCTCGCGATTTGAATATGTGGCCCATCGCGAAATAGGCTTTGTTTGCCAGCATAAGCCTTCTATTTATTTCCGGTTCTTCTTCATTATTTTCGACCAGATCCATTTCTAAATACGTGAATCTATTCACGTATTCTATATCGTCTATAAATTGTTGTTGTTGCGCCTGTCTATTTGATCTGGTTTGTATGAGTAGTTTTGTTTTATTTGTATTTATTTTTAGCCCTACAACTTCTGAACTCTGTTTCAACTGAACGTAGGTTTCTTCTGCCGCAGTCTTTGTTCTGCTCATTATGTTTATGTCATCTGCGTATGCTGCTAATTGGGTAGATTTGTTTGTAAGTATGTTATTTCTGCTCACCGTCAACCGTCTAATTACATATTCAAGAACAAGATTAAAAAGTGTTGGAGCCAGTCCGTCACCTTGTTTCAGTCCTTGCGTTGTCATAAACGCATCAGTGATCTGTCCTTGGATACATACATGTGCTTCTGTTCCTGTCATTGTCATTTGCACTAGTCATTAATTTTGATGGTATGCCAAATTCTTGTAATATATTAGGTAGTATTGTTCTATCTATTGAATCATAGGCTTGCTTGAAATCTACAAAGAGATTGTAGACGTCTATGTCATATTCCCATGCTTTGGCTAGTATTTGTTTAACTGTAAATAGTTGGTCAATAGTAGATCTATTTTGCCTGAACCCTGCTTGATATTCCCCGATAATTTTTTCAGTGAGGGGTTGAAGTCTTCGATTAAGAATGTTTGTGAGTATTTTGTATCCCGAACAAAGTAAAGAGATGCCTCTATAATTCTGGCATATCAGTTTGTCTCCTCTTTTATGAATAGGGCAGATTATACTTTTCTTCCATTGTTGTGGGCTTTTTTCTTCTCTCCATATTTCTTGTATAAGCTGGTACATCTGTTCTGTCAAATTTGTTAATCCCCGCTTGAACAGTTCTGCCGGTATCTTATCTATTCCCGGCGCTTTATGGCTTTTTTGCATTTGGATTGCTGTTCGAACCTCCTCTAGCGTTGGAGGTCTAGCCAATTCATTATCTTCTCCATCTTCCCACAGCTCCTGTTGTTGACCTTCCTGTTCTACCTGCTGCTGCCGCTGTTGTAGTGGTGTTTGTGCCCTTTCGTTTAATAATTCCTTAGAATACATCATCCAGGTTCTCTTAATTTCGTCCATATCGCTAATTATTTCCCCATTCTTATTTTTGCATAGGCTAGTCTTTGGTTTGTAACCCTGTCCTAAATGTTTGATAAGTTGGTATGCACTGCGTGTTTCGTTTTCCTTGAACGCCCTCTCTATGTTTAGTATCCGGTTGTTTTCGTACCGTCTCTTTTTCTGTCTGCATAGTTTATCAGCTCTTCGTCTTTTATTCTCAAATTCTGTCCTTCTCTCTCTAGTTCGTCTGAGTATGAAATTCTTATGTGCTTCATTTCTTTCGTGAATAGCTTGTTTGCATTCTTCATCGAACCACTGTTCTTCTCTCCGTTGAGTGTTTGTTCCAAGAACTTCTTGTGCCGTGTTTAGTATGATAGTGCTTATGGTGTTCCAATGATTTTCTATTGTGAATTCTTCTATGTTTTCTTCTAGTAATTTTTCACTCACTGTTCTCTCAAATCTTTCTTGTACCTCAGAGACTTTTAGGTTATCTAAGTTTAGTTTTTCTTGTTTCGGATATTTTTCCTTTGCTTGTCGAAATATCCCATAACAAACTGTAGTAATTATTCATCTTTTTCATTGGTGTCTGTGCTGTCATAGTTTTTGGCATCACATTAGATGATCGGTTGCAGTCCATCTATCATGAGAATTACCTCCTTCATACTTTCACCTACTTATCTTGTGATCTCTGTGATCTTTATCTTTACCGTCACTAAATCATTGGAAATGACATTCATCAACGGCAGCATTTTAATATGTCGTTTGACTATTATACAAATCCTCAGGACTTTGTCAGATCGGCTATATAGAAGCTCTATACCAGTGCTTGATAGATCTCTTATTTCTTTCTGGAAAATCCAGAGATCTTGTATCAAAACTATGTCGAACCTTCTCATAGCAACGTAGGATAAGAATCACTGCAATTCCCTATACATTCTAATTTTTAAATTTGGTCCAATGCTTTATTTGATTTATTAAAAAAAATACATTTAAAATTAATATTTTTAGCTGATTACTTATTTCTTAGTTGACCAAATATTAAAACCGATTACCTTCGGCGACCATACAATGATAAAGATTTTGTTCCAAACGTTCTCTCGCATTTCAGAGAATTTGCGGAGGGATGTTTGAAAAGTCAAATCTTCATCATATTATTGATCATGTTCAAAAATCAGTCAAGCCAGGATTAATGAAGTCTTCCAGAAATTGTAAATAAATTTCATCAGTCAAATTTCGGGGAAAAAAAATTCCCATCAGTCGATCACCGAAAATATTAACCCATACATTTAGTTCTTCCGGTTGCTGTGTATGCACCTCGAAATCCTAAGGTTTAACTCAGACCAATAGCGGTAATTGTAACGATTTACAGTTCCATTTATGAACAAAATACACTCATTGGAGAAACGTAAACGGCGATTAATTATTTCACCAAACTGTAAATGGCGGTCAATTATTTCACGAAACTGAAAACAGCGGTCATACTCATCCTCATTAAGTTCTTGCACTAATGTGTTTTATATGAATGGAATTTGTTCTTCCAAATGGCTTTGATGTTAGTTTGGTTAATTTCGGATACAGCTGCTACTTGCCTTGTACTTAACATCTAGGTGAACATGTCCTAACACTGCAACTTCTCTAGCTTCGTTAACTACAGGCACTTTAATTTCTCATTTTTTCATTACCAACATTCTCAGTTTCCTAATTTTTTTACTAACTCCAAAACATTCTTTCTACTGACGTATTTATTATTTTGATGTCGTTTATTCAATTGTTGAGCTGTCATATTGTTACAGTTATTGTTCATAAAATGCCATTAATAACTGAAGGTTCCGAGCTAGAACTTCTTAACATAGTTAAGGAAAGAAAAATTCCTACCTTGGCCATATCCTTAGGGGAAGCAAATACTATATTTCCGAACTTATCTTACAAGGAAAGATACAGAGACGCTGAGACCCAGGAAGAAAGCAATATTCGTGGATACCGAACATAAGGAATTGGGGTAATATCAGAGACATGGACATAATATTCCGAAGAGATCTAAAACGACACTCTACAAATGGAGAGAATCGCCAACCGCCAACGTGGAGCCAAACACGTGACAGACGAAGAAAAAGAAGTTGTACACACAGAATTTTATGCAGAAACTCACAAAAAGAAATGTATTTTTTAATATTCTACACGTGGTTCAATCAGACCACGGTGCGTTTTATAATACCACTTTGGATTGCACAGTATTAAGGATTCGACACAATTGTATGTGTACATTATAAATTTTTTCATTATCATGTTTATTTTTCATTTTCAGGACCGAAATCATTACAAATTCGAAACTGTGGGAAAGGTCATGCGGGATCTTCTGGAATGGAGAAGGCAACTCGTCCTTGGTACTTTGACACACGATCAAACAACAGATCTGAAACTCAAAATTATCCAGAAAATAGATTGGGGAAATCGGTAAGTATTTACCTTTTTTGTTGTAAGTTATTGCATGAATACTACGCTCTATAATACAATTGCTTACTAAACAATTCAAGTCGTTTTTAAGTTTTATTAAAAAAATAGTTTTAATTATTTTTATATGACTAAATGATTTATCACTTTATCGGTGATGCATTTTTGCTCATCTTAACCTACCTAGTATAGTATAGAAAAAATATGTCTGTAGAACAAGCGAAACAGAAAAGGTCGACAAAAAATTAATGTATGGAAAAAGTTTCTTCCGATGTATCAATTTTCTTTTATTATTTCTTTTAAAATTTTCTTCTGTCATCACCGAAATAAATTGATACACTAAACAAACACATTCATTAGGACCCTTGGTTTTTATATAAATATTTGCTTCTAAATACTTCTCTCCGTCAGCCGTTGTGTTCTGGGTATTTCTCTTCTCGGTACCGTCATTCCTGTTCTAAATGCGGTTTTCGGCACTCTCGTTTGAAGGATTATATCTGCATGGCCCAGCGACATTATTCCTTGTGTATTTTTCTCTCTCATATTTTAATTTTATTATCTGAATCAGTTAAGACTTAAGCTAGCTTTGCATTTCAATATATTGTTTAGCATGCTGCACATCTATTTTGTTTGTTGTTTCTCCTCCAGATTTGCTCGTTTAATAATTACTTATTATTAGATCTTCGTCCATCCATTCTTTACTGGTTCTTATAACATGTATTTAACTTTTGTTTCGTTGATTTCTAGACCCCTTTTCTTTGCCGGTTTCTCCAGTATTCTGGGTATATCTTATAGTTGTTTTATACTAATTGTTTTTTTGTATATCTATGATATTGCCTGTTTTGTCCTTTTTGACCGATTTGATCTTGAAACCTCTGAAGTAATATGAGACTGTCAAGCAGATTACCAATGGGAGAGGGAAATATAATATTGTCTAAATAAAAATAAATCACTCACAATTTAATTATAAATACCTACGTGTAAATAATAGATTTTTATAAGCCAAAAATGCAAGGTTAAGGTATTAAAAATATAAAAAGTCAATTATAATTATACACTTCACAATTATTATAATTGACATCACGCGTCGATCGGATAGCCAAGCGGGCTGGGCGGCTGGCTTCTCATTCGCTTCAATGCGAGAGATGTCAGTTCAAATCCCCAGCTCGGTGTACAGAAATCAAAAAGGCTAACGCAGCAGTTTAAAATTCTAAATGAATCTGCGGCTTAGTCTAGAATATGCTGGTATCTGATCGGCCTATGGTGGAGCAGTACGACAAGAATAATGGCTTGTGGCTCGGTGATACTCCTCCATAGATCCCTACCGGAAGGGCGTGTGCCGCCTAAATACCGGGTATATATATATATATATATATATAATATATATATATATTATATATATATATTATATATATATATATATATATACATCACGCGTACTAATAAAAGATCGAACTACAATTAATATTAGACAACGTATAATAGCGCCAACCATCTAGCCGGCGTGTTGTTTTAAGGCTAAAAAACCTCCAAATAGGAATATAGCGATATCTAGAACTAAAGAGGTGGGTAGACCATACAGTAATGGCAAATCCCACTCCTTTGGAAAAAGGGAAGCTTCATGGAATCTGGGGAAAGCAAGAAATCGCTAAAAACCACACGATTGAACATCGCAACTGTAAATATAAGGTCCTTAAGCAAAGATGAAACTAAGAACTCGAAGAAGACATCAAGCGCTTAAAATGGGACATAATTGGTTTAGCAGAGGTAAAGAAAAGGGGAAGAGTGCATAACACTAGAGTCCGGTAACGTCCTATATTACAAAGGGCGAGAAGAACAAAGCCTAGATGGCGTAGCATTTCTAATTTCCAAAAAATGTGCACATAAAGTAGAGCAATTCGTAGGAATATTTGAAAGAATTGCAATGATTAGGTTTAAATGTCAACGAGAACATCTCCCTGAAAATTATTCAAGTATACGCTCCCACCGCAGCACATCCCGATGAAGAGGTAAACGAATTTTATGAGAAAATTGCAGAAACTAGCACAAATTATCACAGCATGTATACGATGATAATATAATACTTCAACGCTAAGATCAGAAAACGACTTGAAAAAACCGAAAACTATATAGGACAATTCGGTTCCTTTAGTTAAAAACTAGAGAGGAAATTGCTTGATTAAGTTCAAACAAGTACAAAATAAGTGCAGAATTACAAAACATGCTGAAACAAAGAAAAGATCTTATGAGACAAAACAAAAGAGACATTGTCGAATTTAAGGAACTTAATCGAGTAATAAGAAAACAGATAAAAGAGGACATTAAAAAACATCAAGAAGACCGTATAGAAAAAATCATAGAGAAAAAACCGAAGTCTCAAATGCACCAAACCGAAACTAGGAAAGAAAAACATAAAAACATTAAAAATTAACAAGGACAACTAGAAAAAAGTTAATCTGATATTTCAAACTCAATTGAAAAGTTCTATGCCGATCTGTACCGTTCCAGAAACGATCTCCCTAACTCCTCAAAGCAGAACTTGAAAAGGCAGATAACAAATGTCAACTTAGAAGTGATGCCCGAAAAAAGCCACAAAGAAATGGAAAGAGCAGTAAAAGAAATAGCAAGGAATAAAGCTCCTGGAAGCGATGGAATCCTAGTAGAAATGCTGAAGGAAGATGGAGAAGAAGCCATCACATATCTAAAAATACTGTTTAATAAATGTCTATTCCAAGATAACATACCCGAACAATGAAATACTGCTAAACCAATACTAATACACAAAAAGGGAGACACCACAGACCTGAAAAATTATCGACCAATTTCACTTCTTTCACAACTTTGCAAAACCTTTACAAAGATTATTACAAACAGGTTAACAATTAAATTTGACGGATATCAACCAGTAGAACAAGCCGGATTTAGAAAGGGTACAGCACCTGTGACCATCTGTATACTTTAAAAATCCTAATAGAAAAGACTAACGGATACAATCTCCCATTATGTCTGGCTTTTATAGATTATGAAAAAGCTTTTGATAGCGTAGAACTGTGGGCAATAGAAGAAGCATTAGTCAATAATCGGATCGACTCCAGGTACAGAATATCGATAAATAATATTTACGAACAAGCTAAAATGATAGTGACGTTGGATAATGGAATCGAAACCAGACCAGTATGACAAGGAGACACAATATCTCAAAAATAATTTACAGCTGCCCTAGAAGATATCTTTAAGTCAATAGACTGGGAAAATAAGGAAATCCCTATTAATGGAAGATACTTGAACCATCTTAGATACGCAGATGATGTAGTACTAATAGCCGACACGTGGAATGCACTGAATACGATGATTGAGGAACTACACACAGAATCCTTAAAAAAGGACTGAAAATGAATTTCAGCAAAACTAAACTAATGTCAAACAAAGATGACAAACCTATGATAAACATCGAAGGGACAGAGATAGAACACGTTGATAAATATACTAATCTGGGTCAAAATGTCAGGGTAAGCAAAGAAAATCACACTACCGAAATAAGCAGACGTGTAAAAATGGGATGGGCAGCATTCGGAAGACTCTCATACGTACTTAAAAATAAAAATATACGTCAAAGAATGCAAACCAAAGTGTTTAATTCCTGTATCCTACCTGCACTTACATATGGAGCTCAAACTTGGATATTCACTAAAATAAACATGGAGAAGATCAGAAAAACTCAGAGAGCTATGGAACTACAGATGCTGGGTATCTCACTCAAAGGCCATAAAACCAATGAAGACATTCGTAATAGAACAAAAGTAAAAGATGGTGTCGAACAGGCAGCTAAACTGAAATGGGCTGGACATAACTAACGCCTTACGGATGGCTATTATATATTAAAAGAACTGCAGGGCCAATGTGGAAACGTCTTACAAACAACAGAGATAAATGGCGAGTATTAAGAGGGGCCTATATTCGGCAATCCGAATAGAGAAAAAGGCTTAAAAAAATAGCGCTATTTCATTTAAACATTTCATAAAAACGAGCCGTAAATGATTTTATAGAAATGTGAATTAAGTAAAGACTTCCGTATTGAATAGTTTCTATTTACCGGTGAAACTAGATGCAGTTGCCTAGGTGATGAATTAAATGCATGCGTCCGCCTTAAAAATTCTAACTTGCCTGTATCTGACACATATGTTATAACTCTAAATGTGCCGCGAGTATTATTTCACTCATCGTCCAAAATCCGTAAATTGAACTATATTACAAGGATTATTAGATATTTTCGTTATCTGAAATTTATGATTTGGTGAACAATGACAAAATTGAATTGATAGATAAAATAATTTTATTTAAAAATTACCAATCGACTATTCAAAACTTTTTAAGAGAATCTAAGTGTACGAATACAAAATAAAAAGAGTAGTGAATGTCCAAAATCTACTACTGCCCGGATGAGTGAAGATTATGCATCATATTGGATAACCGTCGAATTAAAATGCGTGACATAACATACTTAGTGGATATGCCACATAAAAATGTGCACGGAATTTCAAGTAAAGAATTATTGGAAATAAAAAAAAATGTCCAGATTGGGTACCATGTTTGCTCATGCCGAAACAAAAACGGAATAGTTTAAGTGTTTATCGCGAGGTTTTACCACAATCCGATACTTTTTTATCTTGTGTTTAAGAATAGAATTATCTTGGTCGTCTAATTATAAATAAACGAAATTAAAAATGACGAATATTATACTGCCCTCCTAAGCCAAGATGAAGTAACTAACAGGTTTTGGTTAATCTGAGATTAACTTTTAGTTAGTTGGTTTCAGCACAAGTTATTTTTTGTCATTTTTTCTAGTATCTTTGGATATAAACTTACTGAGGAGATGCAAAATTAGCACTAAAATGCTTTTAAAAAAAATATATATTTAACAGAGAAAAATGAGATACGTTTATTTTGCTTATGAAATTAATATCAGTTAGATTAATTATGTTATTGCACTGATATTTATATACAAGGGTTACCTTGTATGTCACAGATACTATCAGGAAGAAACCAAATAAAAATTGATCATTTCAGTTAACGTTAGCTTTAATACCTTTATTTTCTATCAAAGAACATATTTATGCAAAGCTCTCAATTTTGCACAAAGGACGGAAACTTTCTGAAAAGAAAATAATAAAATATAGATACTTGTACATTTAAATTGAAGTAAAAAAACGGTGAGTTTATTTCAACGTAGTTTAGTTTCAACGTAGTATGTAAATTTTCCCAAAACTGTAACGGTCTTCAGGATCTCTCCCATATTATGAAGTACGTAATTTTTTTCTGAAACGATATTTCATTTACCTCGTCACACATGGGCTTTGGTAATTCATGATTGTTTGTAATTTGAGAGTTTAAAAAATTGATTTCCACGTATTCCTCATCAAAATCATTTTTATACTTCATTTTGTAGCTTCTGTAGCATGGTGCTAGATTACTTGCACCATGTTTTGCAAATAAGGTCTAGGATTAATCTTATCAAGTTTATACTGAGATGAATAATCTTCCCAATTGACCAAATTCTTTTTAATTTCATTTTCAAGATTTCCGTATGACGAGTAGTATTTTGGAGAGGTTTCACAAAATCTTGAAAGTCATACAACTTTCTCATTCTCTTCATCGATAACTCCTCGATGTGATGGAATGAATCGGCTACTATAAAGATATGACCTGGTTCGAAATATTTAATTCCAATTTCATATGTAGCAATTTTATTTGAATTTACCATATACAGTAAAAATGATAAGAAGGACCAGTTTTTATTTTGGGCCGCGAATTTAATTTGAAGAAGTTGTGGAACGTGCTTATAATTTGATATAAATTTCTTCCAAAGCCAGAGAGCAGCACAAGGTCTGCAAATTTTTTTGTTTTTTCCCCACTGGAACAAGGTTCTTATTGTATATGGTTAGGCGGTTGATGAATATTGCGGTTGTAGTCTTGGTAAATAGCAAATATGAGCAGGATGTCGTAGCATTATACATGTATAATTACAATGACGATTACATTGTTAAATAACGTTTGACGTTTCGATTTTCACTCTGGAAATCGGTAAATATAACATTTTTTTTTTAATAAATTTTGGTACTAAAAACCATTGCATATACAATATAATAATCAAAACAGTTTCTGCTTTATTCTTGTACCTTTCCTAAGAATATAATATAAATTATAACGTATATAATATAATATAGTATATAGTTTTTTACATAAAAAGTCCCAATAATAAAACCACTCTCATAAAATTACACTACAAAAGTGTTTAAAACATTAATGAATGAGGAAATTATCCAAATTAATACTCGTTGTTAAATGACTTACTAACACAAACATTTAATTTTGTTGTGTTCTACATTTGAATCACTATGTAAAACACGATGCCGAACATGTCATTGACTTATTTGTTTTCAGCAGGAAAAAATGTGTAAAGTAAGCATAATTACAATATCGGTAATTCCATTATCACTGCAAATTAGTTAAAAACCAATAGCTATTATTGAAAATATATTTGCATAATTTATTTAAATATAAGAATACTACTACCCGTAAGATTTTTATAATTCTTCAAGTAATTCTGGAAATTGTTTCTACAGGGTGTCCCATGAAGAATGGAGCATAGAATAACTGGAGATTCTCTTCTTTAAAATAAGACGTTTCAATACAAAGAGTTAGATAAAATTTTGCTTATTTCCGAAATTCAAGGGATTGCATTTGAAAATTGGCCATATTTTTTTATTAATCGGTATAATTTTTCGTAATTGGGTGGCATGGATAAGCAAAAAGTTTTTGCCAGCGATGACACGCTAGTTCTAATTACAGTTTTAAAATCTTCCATATTTATGTTTTACATAAATTATATATTCTTATTAGAAAATCATAAAATGGTCGGTTTTCGAGATATTTGAGTTCAAAAATTTTCTGTTTGAAACTTTAAAGTTTGTTTTTCAAATGAACTTTAGCAAACTTTTCAGTTAATTGTCTATTGAATTTGATAAAGACTATCGCAATGCAGGTTTCCTTACTCTAACATTTTTGTATGCCCATTGAAATAAATAACTAGCGTAACTAGACAGTAACTAATATTATTCTTAATCTTAACGTTTACAGAAATGTCTGCAATTTAATCAAACCTCTGCGCAACATATTAAGAAACCGTTTTAGTTTCCATTATGAGTTTATTAATTCTACGTCTATTTCAAATAGAAATATTATTCAATTAAATTTGATCAAGTATATTATTACATAACAAAGTCTCATCCAAATAAAAGTTAATTCTTCATTCTTCTCGATAACTTCTAATTGTTCTGAGATAATCCCGTTTCCAACATACATGATCCTATATTGTAAGATGACAATACAATAATCCCGTTTCTATGTCAATTAAAAGTAATATCCTGTTATGTTTTCCCAGCGCACTCAATTTATTTTTTTGCTTAGTTAAATATTATATTTATGTGGGATAACCACAATTGATTTTAAGGAAAATTACATATTTTACTGTTGTTTGACGTTTCGATTTCCACTCAGGAAATAGTTTTCGTCGTTTTTAAACCTATTTCCGGATTGGAAATCGAAACATCAATCAGATCTACATAAAATTTCGTTTTATTGTTAGTATACATGAAGATTTGTTTTACAGTATCTCTTGTAATAACGAATAGTGTATCTCTGGTACATATTTATAGTCTGTTTTATCTCGATTTAGTGGATTTTGAACTATACCGACTAGCAGCTTAATTTGAGTAATTTGAGCTTAAAATATTTTAATGTCCAATGAAGGCACTAAATTGATCCAAAAATGGACTCTTATTTTGACATTTCAACTGATTATCGGAGTATTAAAACTAACTGTCATTTTGGGGACAAGTGTTGTTTGATTAACCATAAGAGCTACTACATACGTAAACCTCTTTCAAAATTTTATCATGACTTACATTTAAGATGCAATCTAAATGCCATTCTGAAATTTTCTAAATAGTACTCTACTGCTCTGTTTATTATACAATAAAGTTTATTATTCAACGAAAAATTCCAGGATTATCAAATGTTTCTAGCTCAATGGCGCCAAATTCCACAAAATATAGTCTATAATGTGGTATTAAATACCTATTTTGTGTAACAGTTTCAATGAATTTTTCAAATATATCTAACAAACTACATCTGACTGTTCTTGAATAATTCCATCTAAAAATCATACGAACAAGCTGAACTTTACTGTCAATTTTGTGATTTTAAAAAAGGTGCAAAAAGTTTGCCACTCCTGCCCAGTAGGATTCACCGTAAAACCCTCCTAATAGGGGGAATATGGAAAACATCGATTTATAAAGAATGCCGTAGAAAAATAAATGTTTCAAACGAGAAATGTATGCAAAAAGTTTGCCACTCCTGCCCACTAGAATTCACCGTAACACCCCTCCTAATAGGGGGAATATGGAAAACATCGATTTATAAAGAATGCCGTAGAAAAATAAATGTCTCAAAGGAGAAATGTAGCTGAAATAATTTTGAACAAAAATGTCCATTCCATTTTTGTGTAGATCAACCGTTCTCCCAGAAAGAACGCCTGAACCGAACGGTGATTTTAAATGCCAGTTAGCCGCGCGAAATCAATTTTTAAATAAAATTGGTATCAACTCGACGGTAAAAATTCAATATCTTTTGATCAGAGTATACATCGTAGAAGAACAAGGTTTTAGGTCAGGAAGATCATGCACCGACGCTATATTTATAATAAGGCAAGTGCAAGAGAAATCATTAGAATACAACAAACCGGCATATATATGTTTCGTGGACCTTAGAATCTCGTGGTAACCTAAGAAGGCATTTTATCGGGTCAAATTAAAGGAAAATATCCACTTATTGTACGCATAAGGGATACCTCTAGGAATAATCAAAACGATCGAAAATATTTAAGAAAACAACACAAGTAAAAGTAGAAGAAGAACTAACTGACCCTATTGAAGCTGGTTATGGGATAAGACAGGGAGACTTCCTGAGTCCTCTATTGTTCAAAATTATTATGGATGATATAATAAAAAAGTAATAACTTGAAAAGGATGTCAAATGGGATAAAAACAATTTAAAATAATCTACTATGCAAACAACGCAATACTACTCTCTCAAAGTGAAGATAGGTTACAACGTATGCTACACCAATTTAATATAACCTCCAGAAAATTTAAGATGTTAATTCCCCAAAAAAGACAAAATACATGGTTTGCATATATAGCAAATTTACTAAGATCTAAATTGAAGCTGGAAGGTCAGATAATAGAACAAGTGATGGGTTTTAACTAACTAAACATATCACATTATCTAGCTACGAAAACCTTAAACTGAAGTGGAAGATCAACTGAATAGAGCAAGCAGAGTCGCAGGTTGCCTTAATGAAAAAATATGAAATAATAAAAATATCGAGAAAGAAATGAAAGGCAGAATTTACAAAACAGTCATCAGACCAATAATGACATATGCGGCAGAAACATGACCTGACACAGAGAAGACAAAAAGATTGTTAGAAAGAGCAGAGATGAAACACAACAATCGATGGTAAAACACTATGGGACAGAGAGTATATATATACGAAGTAGATGCAAAGTGGAAAACATCAAGCACTGGGTAAGAAATAGAAGAGTAGAATGGAACGATCATATAAGCCGAATAACAACAGAGTAGTAAAGATGGCAAGAGACGGCTACTCAATAGGAGGACGATCAGTAGGAAAACTACGAAAACGATGGAACACCAAAACGATGGAACAACAAATTACTGGAGGCACATTGAAAAACAGACAGTCATGTCTACATAAAAAGAATAAATTTCTTGTTTAAAACATTTGATTTCACGGCGTAGATACTTGATAAATCAATGTTTCTCCTTTTTCCCCCATTACAAGGGGCGTTTTGGGGAAGTACGGGGGTTGGAGTGGCAAACTTTTTGCGTCTTTTTAGAATCCCAAAATTGACATTCTCAGCAAAATTCAGCTTGTTCGTATGATTTCTAAAGGTTCAGTGGCATTTTCGTTTCTGATGACTGCGTGTAGTCTTATTACTGGACATCTTTTATTACGTTGTTTTCTAGGGAACGAATTATAGATGTGTTAAAATATATTAAACAAAAGTTCTTGTGTTTATCTTTATTAGTTTTGGAATCCGTTTGTTCATGATTATTAGCCAATTAAAATAAGAATATAAGTAATAAAAACGTAGACAACTTACTGTGGAACAAATTACTTTGCAGTGACCACCCTTTTAATATTTCTTTAAACTAACAACCAATATTTTCTTTACAAGTTTCGCTTCCAGACAATATCCTATGAATCACTGTAGTTCGACCATTTCATGAATATCTAATTTATATTATATGATTATATATATCGTAAACTTGGTTAATAAGAACTCATATGCGGTTGTTAATAACAGTATTATCATACGCAATATTTGTATCACAATATAACATTGAGTTGCATTTTTTTTACATAAATTCTTGAGAAAAAGTCAACCTTCTCGAAATTGGTACACAACTCCCGGGACATACTATGCAGAACGGGGTATTTATTAAAGGCTCTTGGAGGCAACAGAATACAGGCTTATCTGCCTTAAGAACTATACAACCTGTAGCCATACGAACAGCAACTACCGCTCTAGAAGTTTATAGTTTTTTTCTTCTTTTTCTCATTAATTGATTACGTTTTATAATTGGATTAAAAAGTATAAGGCTCTCGTGTTTGTAGAAGAAATAATAGTTAAAGCATTTATTTTTTTATTTACTTACCTTGGCTTCGGTATTTATTGTGTCATCCACATCATAAACCGTTCCCAAAAAACTTTCCGTTAATTCAAAACCAAACCAAATGGACTGAAAAACCTCATCAGCACCTGCTCCAGATCTAATTGATACTTTTTTCTTGTTTATAAGGGTCGCTATGTTGCCATTATAGAGTTCTTTTCGATTTCGTTCTTCTATTGGGGCATTTCCAAATTTATGTTGATTTTTTTCCGCGCATCATGTACTTTGTGATTTTTTTTTAGTCTTTATGTGAACAATCACACAGCAATCTCTCACTAGTATATAGCTCTAAAACTTCAGCACTTGGTCATTGCTCCACTCAACCATAGTTAACAAAAATTTACCAAACAATAAACAAATAAGTCCGTGCACCGACAAGACAGCCAGCAGCATGTAAACAGTCACTGTCACTGCTAAGTGCTTTGATTTCCGTGAAAAAAAAACCGCCAACGCAGGGAGCGTACGGCAGCGGCAGTGGTATGAGTAATGGCAGCGCGAGCGACGTATTTACATACACATGCTGCTAACTTGCTGCTCATTTTTGCTAGTGCTGCCGAAAGTGGCGGATCAGCCAGCATATTACAGCAGGTAACTATATATTTACAACTTTTTGATGTTTCAAGGAAGGGTCAAAGACCAACTGAGTCAACAAAATGTATTCTCATATTATTGAACTAAGGATGTGTATAGCAAGGGATCCAATGAAATGAAGTAAACTTTGGAGATGCAAAGATATTAAGGTTGGTAGCAGATGGATGTGGAGGCCAAAATAAAAATACGATTGTTGTTACTATAATTCACAAATTATTTCATGAGACTAGGACATCTATTGAAAAAGTGGAATTAATATTTCCTGTCGTTGGTCACTCTTTTATGTCTCCTGAACGGGTAGCACGATTAATTAAAAGAGATATAAGAAAAAAAATACTATTATTTCATCCGCGGAATATACGTTTTTAAACAATTTGCAAGCATAATTAATGTAGAAAAAGATATGTATGTGTACTACAGGAAAAATGTCACGGAAACTTGTACCAACCGTCCTAGTGCATGGCATTTTCAATTTAATCCTGCAAAACATGTTACATATTTACCAAATCTTAGCGAGAAAATATATTAGAGCAAGGAGAAGTAACTTACATAGTAGATCTCGATACACCTAAAGGTTTTCAAAAAAAGAGTAACACCTGATAATATTAAACCAACAGTAATCCAACCTCGATTAATGGCTCTTAATCCATTAAAATTAAAGGATGTCGTTAATTGGTTAAAAAAAACATTATGGGAAAATTGGAAAAAGATGAAAATGTTATTTTGGAATTATCCCATCAAATTCTCAAACTTAAACTATACACACTGGGAGCAATACTCCAAATGAGAACTGTTTTTAAACAATAGTGAAGAATTTTTTATATAACTTGTAGAGAATAAAGCATTTATTAATTTTCAACTGCCTTTAATTTTATCTATATTGTATATCCACACACATAATTTTATCACCCTTAAATAATATTTGTAATAATAAAATATTACATTATCAGATTTAGACAATAATTGGAATAAAAAACATTGGCGTAAAGTCGTGTTTCTGCTTCATTTGCTCTGTGTTGTGTTTGGTTTGAGTACTTTCATTTGGTGCTAACCAGGTGCAACAAGCAAGTAATTTAATTGAACTAGGTTTGAGACTTGTTCACCACTTGAAATTACATTCGGGTGTAATTCGTTTGTAAACACGAATCACTCTACCGCTCTCCATTGCTCCAGACTATCCCTTCCCCCTCTATAGCCCTCTGATGCGCGATAGGCGCACAACTATCAGCCAAATGCTCTTTATGTGGGAGTCCTGGGTAATCGAAAATCGAACTCCAACATAGTTCCCTAACCGATTTAAATTTAGGCGAGCGTTATGTGCGTTATTTCTGTTATCCTCTTATGACTTGTCCGCTATTAACCAGGTGCATTGTGGGTATTTTGGTGCTAGAACTTACTGCTGCTGCTTTTTTTCTTGCCAAGCCAGTATGTGAATCCCATCTTGACATAATTCTTTTGGCAATTGATATAACTATTCTTCATTGTATTGCTCTTACATTCCTTTCTTATCTTTATCTTAGTTTTTTTGATAAGTTTTTTTCACCATTGCATAAGACATCCCTTTTCCCGCTTGGCTTACATATCCTAGTTTTTCTCTAAGCAATTCGATGTACCCAACCATTCCTGTTCCTCTCAACCACATACTCTGTTTTTAGTCCTGCTAACGTTATATCCTTCCTCTTCAATAGCCGTTCTGCTTCAACATTTCTTTGCTCCCCTCCTCTAACACGATATCATCCGCAAAGAGCATTAACCATAGGATCGCCTCCCTTATCTTCTTTGTTAGTAGATCCATACCAAGATTAAGCTAGTAGGGTCTTAACGAAGAACCTTGATGTAAACCAACCGCCACTATTAAACTTTCGGTGAATCTCTTAAGTCCTTCTTTTGGTGTGCATCACTTCATACATATACTTTACAAGCCTTACATACTTCTCAGGAACCCATTTCTCTCTCATGCATCTCCATAGATCTGTTTATTAACAGTGTCATACGCCTTCTTAAGATCTATAAATACCAAATGTAGCTCTTTTTTCTCGCTGTACTTCTGTATCAACTGTATAGAAGCGAACAAGGCATCCATTATCCTTCTTCGTGGCATAAACTAAAACTGTTGTAATATTGATGTCTCGCGTGTCATTAACCTTCGCTCGACAGTTCTCTCCTAAATTATCATTGTGTGCGACATATCTATGTTCAATTTATTTTTATACAATCAAACTCTCCGTCCATGCATTGGGCATCCTTTCTTTCTCATAATATGTTACACTCATCATTTGCCACAAATTAATAGTACACATTTTATAATAAATTAAAAACAACATCCATCTTAAAACAGTTCAACTATTGAACTATTTTAAGATAGGTGTATTATCACCTGATATCAAATTCCAGTAATATATACAAATATTGTTTACGCCAAATAAAGGTTTGGTATAAATTGTAGCTTACTACACCATGATTTTGTGTACATGGTTAATTGCGAGACGGAAGTGGTGTTACGAGGGGTGCTCAAAAGAAATTTCCAGCTTAAATCCTATTATATAGTGTTATATATACCATTACTTACAACCTTACACAGTCATGTGATGTGGGTTGCATATCTAAAAGTTTAATCAATTAAATTATACTTTATTTTCCTCATTTTAGTATTTTATTTTTTAAATACATGAAATTATTTTAAAACTTTTGCTGCACCGCAGGTCTTATCTACCAAGGATATCTTAAAATAATAAAATATATTTGGTTCCATACAATATGTTCTGTATTTGTTTGCCGTTGGGTTTACATATTTATATTGAAATTGACATTTCAAACCTTTTGTAAAACTGAAAAGTCTAATCTTTACCAAAAATATTTATTGAAAAAGGCACTTGTCTACAAAAAAGTATGTCTATTGCATCTAAAGAATATATATCATATATACTGATCTAGTAAACATTTGTATACATTATAAATTGGTCCCAATAAAATTCGTAAAGCCTGCAAAAGCAGTTATATCAATTACTTAATAATCACATAATAAGTAGAAAATACACTAATTTGGAGATCTACAGCTCTTAATTATGGCGAATTAAAGTTAATAATATAAAATAGCTTATAAATTACAGAAATAAGTATATATCTAGAATTAAACTATAAAATATGTCGTTGTCTTACATACAATTCTTAAAAGTAATGGGCTCGTAGTCTACATCCCATTCAAAACGTCTCTTAATGTCTAACTTTCTTCGTGAAGTCAATTGCATTTGTAGAATTAGGCTTCCGTCTCTTTGAACTTAACTATTTCTGGATACATTGGACTCAGTTCTAGAGTGCTGGGGGCAGACGGTAAGTTGCTGTTGCTACCGAAATTCAGTCTTCTTACGAATTCGTCTAAAATTTCGCCAAATACCAATTGGTTTGTGTTTTGTCCCAGTAAATGGATCAAAAGGAAGTCACCAACCTAAAAAATACATTTATTTGGTGAATAAGGATAGTAATCATTAATTAAATAAAAATCCTTTCGGATCTGATTACAAAGTTTACTGTTAAATGATAATCATTTATATTCTCCGTAACTAGAATTTTTCTTTCCTTTTTTCACTTTTATGTTAACTATGTTTTCGTATTAACTGCTCTTTTCATGTCTTTGTGTCGATCGGGTACTTTCGAACCTTTTATATTTTTCTTTTTATTTGTGTTTTTATTTATTTGATTTGTACCATATTCTTACTAAATTTGACAATCAATTAAATCTTTTATATATTTTTATACCTTTATATTTAAGAAATTGTATTTTTCTATTCTTGATTGATGTGAACAAAATTTATTTTAATTTTAAGTATATATTTTATACCGTTAACTAACCAGTTTCAGCTAGCTAATCTCCGGAAATGTCTTTGTTAGTATAGACGAAAACAATATGATGCTATGCAATCTGAAAGTTATTGAGTAAATTACACCTTTTTATAATTTTTAATTTAAAAAAACTATTTTTATATAATGTAGTAAACTTTTAACGCACATACCTGTGTTTTTCTAACAATGGTCTCAACAGCATTGGGTACCTTGAATCTGAATCTCCTCTTCAAAATCGTTTCTCTTGTACTAGGTAGTAATACCACAGCTGCCGAATACACAATAGCCAATCCAGATAGTATAGCTAAAATAATAAACCAGAACCATAGGAAAATGTAAATCTTCTCATTGAGAATGTTCAAGGCCAACACACAGAGGGCGTCATGCTTTTGAATTGATCCCGAAGGACCGAATTTGTGGAATGTACATTTTGTTACCCTTGGAAAGATCGCTACCATGGGATCCGTGCGGTTTTCTTGATTCATGTTCGAAAAGGAAACTACGTCAGTGCCGTAGGTTAGGAACGCTCCACCAAGGAATTTGTCAGTCATGAATATGTTTACCATCTAAAAATAATGTACATACATAATTAAAAATGTGTAAAATCTTCATAAAGTGATGATTTAATGTATAATTGTTTCATAATAAAATCCTAAGTACAAGGTGCTTTGTGTTGAACGTTAGAGCAAAGAATATAGACGCTTATAGAAGAATCTTTCACTGTTATGTTTGAAAGTTTGCAAAAGATGATCGCACGTTATGAAAAAGAATGAGAGGGTGGATCGAGAAGGAAGCGGTCATGTCAACGCTATTATTGCTTTTAAAATATGAAAGAGTGGGGCAACAAATGCAACAGATATTTTTATGTATAATGCCAGAGAACTACGAACACATAATGCCGCGTGGCCGTAGAATAGGATTAAATTTTTGCGTTTTATAATATTTTTTAAAGAAAATAATAATATTTTAACTTTAATAAATGAATCCTATTAGAAAAAATATTATGATTCGAATTTTTAATTTAAATAGGTACAAATCTACAAATAATATTATAGTTAATAAGAAACTCTCTTCTTTAGTAACTATAAAATAATTCAACCAATAAAGTCATCAATCACCGGAATTAAATATTTCCAAATTTTCTAAATTTAATAATTTCTTCTTTGTTTTTTAATATAAAATAACAAAATGTAAAACACAACACTGTCTTTTCTGCAGAATAATGGAAACATGTCTAAAAAGCTTAATGAAAAGTCCTGAGAAAATCAAATTTTTGGTTGAATTAACCAAAAATTAACGAAATATTTTAAAAAATATTTCGTTAATTTTTGGGCAGAAAAACAGTATAATAAAAATTTATGTGACGTTTTTCGTTGTGTTGGAACAAACCTATTTTTAATTCAAAGTTATAAAATGTAAAAAATAAATGCTTTGAATATTGTAAATATCATACCTTTTTAAATTTCAAAATTCAAAATTTAACATTTAATACATTGAAAAAAAAGATTTTATTGTGAAAAAAAAACAAAAAAGCATGGGATTTTTTTTAATCGTAGATGCAAAGTTAAATAAATAGCTCCGTTCGTACTCCTTTCTCACTTTCCCCTAACTACATCTTTTATGAGATAGTTTAAGCCGACTGCCAGATGTGTTTTAAAGTGTAAACCCTAACCAAATCGTCCATTTGAACTGTTCTTCTATAAGCGTCTATATTCTTTGGTTAGAGCTCTGCAGTAGACAAAAAAAGGAAAGGTGTGTTAATTAATGATCAAAAAGTTGAACTTAAACAGACAGATATTCTTAAAAGGTAACTCAATGACTTAATGCCGATAAATATAGATTCTAATCTAAAATCTAAATTCTTTGTAAAAACCTGAATACTTAAAACTCTCCTTTTTCCTGTGTATTCTTTGAAAAGCTGAATAACGTGTAACGATCTTCTCGGGTTTATAAAATTTATATGTCAAAACTCATATATTGCAACTGTCAAATGTATTTCGTAGTAATCTAATTCACCACGAATTTTCCAATATTTTATCTTTTCTTCATAGAATCTATTGATTAGTTGGTTTTAGTTAAAACTTTCAATTCTTGCTGCAGAATTGGCATTATATAACTGTTAAGGAATCATTGGTATGTTTGGTACATAATAAACATATTTAAATATAGTTTTATAGTTTAAAACAATATAGTTTTTGGCATACAGTTTACTTGGTGTTAATTTTGAGTTTAATGTACTTCCTTCACTTACAAATACGACAGATTATGGTATTTTAACAAAAACTCGTTATTGACAATTTAGTTAGGTTAGGTTAAGTGAGGTTTAAAATGAGCATAGACATATTATACCTAGACTGCGAGCTACAATGTAAATCCGTTCCCCAGTGCGGCAGAGAAAAAAGAAGCGAGCTGTCCTTTATTTCTTTATATATATTTATATCTTTCTAATGGGCGGGATCTATTGACAACGTGGCCTTCCCATTACTAAACACAAGTCAGATAGCTTAAATCTTACACGTTTGACAGGTTGAGTGATAGCGACGTGGATTCTTTCTACTTTTGGACCTGGATAAATCGGGCGTAGGGGGGAGAATCGAGGTTCAGTTCTTTCACTGATTCTTTTTTTAATTATAAATTTAATATTAATCAATATTACGTTTATTAGTTATTATTTAACCTGTAAATAAATCTTGCAAATAATAAATGTGTGTAATATATCTTTCAAAATGTAAAATTTAATGTTATTTTTTAAATAAAGTAATACTTAGTAGAATAATAGAATGAGTGGTGGCTCATGCTTTTATCTATTTATTGTCTATTTTAGTAATACCAATGTGTTGTCGCGAGAGGTAACTGTATTCAAATAGTTCTTATAAACCTCTATCGTAAATGGTACTTTTTATGTAACTTTTTACTTTTATTGTTCCAAATGATATTATTACGAGTATATTGTAAAGTTAACGTAGATATTTCACATGTTTAATGCAATGATTACAAAAATGTACTTTTTGGCAATAGAGCTACCAGAAAAAAATATTTTAAATTCGATAATCCAGAAGATTACTTACATCAAGCATTTAAGTTATATTTATTTTGCTATCTCACTTATGTTTGGGCAGTGGGAAGAACACGTGGTCGATAAACCCCGCCCATTAGAAAAATATGCAATATAAGAAAAATACTGCAACTAAGATATTCCCTCTTCCCTCGGCTGTTTTATTAGTGAGAAACTACAATTTTACGATTTTAATCCACTATCTAAAATATAAACGATGCACTGAATCTATGTTATATGCTGTGTTAATTATCTGAAATATTAATTTCCAGAAATAACATGCCTCGCCCCAGAAAGGGCGTATTATATGGATTGACGCAATTTCACAATTTAATCATGTTACACAAATTATAATTTAGGAAATAAAATTCAACTGTAATGAAAGAACTTCCCAATATCCCTTAAATATCAATAAGCATTTTCATTCGTAACTTTATTCTACCGGATATTTCAATGGATACTGGTCTTATTCGTCGAAAAAATCCGAAGGGAGTATAAAGTTTTGATAATGAACTACGCAGATTGAATCTAGATGATGGTCGAATAATTAGTATCCAGATCAGGATCAGCCAAATATGTCATCTCAATGGTATTAAAAAAAGACAAATTAAAAAAATGTTAATTTATTAGGTGTTATGTAAGCCATTATTGTGTATACTCCTCAATATATTAATTCACATTATTAGCTTCCCTATATAATCGCATGAAATATAGTATTTATTGAAGCAATGGTTAATTGTTATAATAATAGATAAATGGCACCAAAATAAATTTAATTACTACCAACATGAGTTTGGGCTGGGCAGGTCACGTAGCCCGATATAATGACAACAGGTGGACACGGAGAAATGACGACAATAAGAAGCATTGGACTAGTTGAAATAGACTAGTAGAAACAATGGATTAGATTGGCGTAAGATAGAGAAAGATGAAAGCAATTGGAGAGACCTACATTCAGGAGTGATTGGAAAATGGTTGACAAAGAAGAAGAACATGAGTTTTAAAAAAGGAAGTTGTAATTGTGACAATGTTAAAACTAGAAATTCCAAGCATCAATCATTGCCCTTCATTATATTGCCTACCTTTATTTATCATCACAGATAGCAGGAAGAATAGAAAGGATGACCAAAGCTTATTGAAAATAAAACCTAAAATTTAGCTTTATGATCATTGGATGAGAAGTAATGATGTATGATCTTGAAATGTAATTTGAGAAGATAAAACGGGACCAAAGAATGTATGTGGCAAAAGGCCAAAGTGTATGTTCGATTTAAAGTAATAAAAATGAAAGAGTTTTACATTTTTTTATCTGAGATAATGTCGTATGTCCAAGGTCGTATGTCGTAGCATTTGTTTTGTCCTATGTGTCACTGTGTGGTACTATTATAATGCTTACAAATAACGAAAATTATTCATGTATATATAGATAATTACATATATTCTACTTAAGTATGTCACTAATGACCGAACCGTTCGGTATTTCGTATATTAAACGAAAGTATTTGGTTATATACTTACCACATTAACAAAGTTTAGAGCTTCACAAATAAAGTATCCGAATGCATAGGAAGTATGCATGTGCATCGTTTCTATAAGATATTGTACGAGTCTATTCTGTCTATGTTCTCTCTCTGCCTTCTCACCAACTCCAACCATCGATCCTCTCATACCCTCGGTGATCATGCGAATTTTTCCTTGCTCCCAATTTTTCCACAACCAATGAGGAATGTAAAAGAGCACCCCCTATAAAATATGTATTTATATGTATTGAAGTTTATAAACAATATCTATCTCTATTATTAAAAAAACAGACAACCTATTATAGTAATTAATTAAGACAGCTTGGACAAAGGAAACAAAAAGGTTTGGAAGATATTTCGATTGATAGAAAAACACAAGTTTATGTTATCAACTTCGGTTTTTCAAGACTTCTTTAATCCCAAATGTTAATAAAGATTTATGTCCACTACTTAGATCATTTTATTTTAATGAAAGCTTCTTTCGGTAAAAGAAGAACATTAATTATCCCAATATGTGACCTTGTTATATTAATAGTAAACAGTAGTATATAAATATTATAAAACAATATCTTTTTAGTATTTCATCCAATGTTAATTTGTATGTTTAAATGGTGCCACGGTGCAATATCTTATGCTCAAGAGGTAAGAAAGACACATTATGTGCAACTTAATCTCTTTCTATTTACATCAACAGTAGAAATACATTACACGTCCAAAATTACACCGAAATAAATAATCAAAGGCGTGACTAATAGGCAAAAGTTGTGACATGTCACAACTGATTTGTATTGAAAATATGGAACGTGTAAATGGAAACCAGAAAGCCAAAGATGGGATTGAAGCATGATATAAATGTAAGATTCACGCTCTCAATTTGAAGGTCTAATTTCTAAAACCTAGAATAATACTACTGAGACTTACAAGGATTATATTGCTAGAATGATTATGAATGTGAAGTCGGTCGTGTAAAATAATTACAAACTATTCGTGGCAATTCTAGTCAAATTATTACTGTTTGTTCGTGGTATTAATCTGTTCATTCATTTCATACTTTTTTAACTTTTGTTTTGACTGGAAAACCGTTATAAATACATACCTGGAAGAATAAAACGAAAGGAACCCATTGGTAGTAGCTGTGGTATCTCTTATCCTGATTTTCATTACCAAGACCAGGATGAGCAACCTCGGTGCCGACGCGTTTTCCTTGTTCGTGGGGTAACGTAAAAGTGTGTGTTATCCAACAAAACGTATTTATTACATGACCTGGCACACCCCTGTCGTTGATGCACTGAATGGGGTCACCTAAAAAAATATGGATTTAACATTAACTTGTTTTATAGTATGAGTCAGTTAGAATTTATGTGCAATAAAGTAGGTAATGATAGGAAGAATCCTTTGGTTCTCGTTTCGACTAGATATTATGGATTCCGAAAGTTCAATAAAGTATGTTAATAAAATAAATTCAAGGCGAATAAATTCCCATGGATATATTTTGGAAAAAATGATGCTAGAAGTTAAGAAAATAAATGTTCTGTGCTATTTGACACATGCATTTAATTATTTTAATTCGCCAACTTAGAAAGAAATTAAAATTATGTAAAAATTTACAAAAAGTAAAAAACTTTTGTTTTAGAAATAATTCTTTCCTGGGTTTCCTGAATGCTCTTCAAAACGGAGCTTTTCTGGTTTTACTTTTTTTAACAACTCTTCATTTCTACTGTGTACCATTCGCTCAGTTTTATTTGCTATTATTATTACTATGCCACCAACACAGCTTCACGTAAGAACATTGATAACAAATTTGAACTGTTTTAGTTTTTTAAAAGCTTCAGAATTAATATTGTCTTTTGCTAAAAAACACACCCTCATCAGTTATGATGTCTTTACTACTCAACGAACCCAGAAGTAAAAACGCAATAGTTACAAAATTACTCAAATATTCTCGATTTAATCATGCTGACCATTAAATCGCTTCTCAAATTGGCATCATTTTATTTTCTTTTAATATCGATGAAGGCTAACATACAATGTTGCGGCTGCTTTTCGACTCTGAAGTGTGTGGATTTCCCTCAAATTGTTCCTTTGATCAATTGCAATTTGCAATTTCGTTCTTACTTCCGTATCCATCCGCGGAACCTATTATTTTGGGAATTTCTGTTGAAACTATGTTTCTAAATTGTGGTTAACTAAATTCAAATATCAAGTAGTAACACTGGCAACTACTATTATGCAAATGATCCATTTTAAATGGAATCAGCATTATCATGTGAATCTCTTGCGTCTTTTTTATTTTTATATAATGATAACGCAGGCCTTTAGATCTTGTTCTTCACTCTCCAGTTTTTAATGCTTTCTCTTTTAAGTCCTTCAGTTCAATCCTTTCATAATAAAAAAAAAGACATAGTTTTTGTTTTCCCATTACCAAGAAAGCGGTACTTTAAGTTCTTAATGCACTGTTAATTTCGTCAAACAGATTATGTTTACTGGTCATTTTTGTTAAAAACTAAAAAAATGATTGAGTAGACATTTAGAGGACGGTTTGGATAATAAAGACCCTGCAACAAAAGCCTGCAACAATTACCTTGATGTGCAACCAAAAATCGAGGGATGACATTTTTATGCGACAAGGTATTATTATTTTAGAATCCACAATTTACGTGTTTCGGATTTTTTTTAAAATATACACTATTAGCGAAATAACAAAATCTATTCCATTTGGCTGGTCGACACTGTTTAAACTTGGGTGCTCTATCTGCCGCATCCGGCATTGCACTCTGCTTTTTTTCCTTTTCCTCCAATGACCATCTTCCAGAAGTCTCTCCTGCATAGTGAGATCCCCTTTTAGTGACTTATATTGATGATTAATGGAGGTCTTCTTCTTTTACTTGTTTCTCTAATTTCTTGCTTTTATTTCTAATTGTCTGCATTTCCGGGTAGTTTATGTCGAGGGCTTTCATTTTTTTCTTTCTTTGATACAGTTCAAGTTCTGCACTATATATTTTGACAGGTTTTACAATTATTGTGAACTTTTGAAGGACGCAGAGGAATTTTTAGAAAGCAGGCCTCTTGGTTGAAGAATATCAGGGAGTGGACAGGAATAAAGAAAGCTGAGCAACTCTTTAGAATAGCTCGAGACAGAGACAGTTTCGCCATGTTAATCGCCAACGTCAAGGGGACTTGATAGGGCACGTTAAGAAGAAGTGAACTTTTGAGTCTAATACTTTTTGTCCCACTCTTTTTTGTAATACCTATTCATGGTGACATTCCATTTCGATTTCTTTTCCGACTTACTTCCTAACTTACTCATCATATAGTTTACGATATAGTGTTCTTTTCGAAACCAGCCGTTACCTGGTCTTCTGCATATAAGAGACACAAGCAGTCATCGCGATAAGAGAAAGAACAGTGCAGCGAAACAATACATAATTGATTATATTTTCTACTGTATTGTTAAAATTTTATTCAAATTATAATAACAGAAGTTAATTATGTCTAAATTATCAAAATATTAGATCTTTAATATTTATTTTATATATTTCAATATCCGTAATGCTACATAATAATCATTCAATTAGTATGATGATGCTGGTCTTTTAACACCATAAACAATTTCATTTTCAATACCTTATAATTGGTTGAACTCAGTCTTGTGGACGCAACCTATTAAAAGTTTAAGTAGCTCGGCAATGAACTACTTTGTTTTGTACAATAAAGCCAGTGTGCGTTTAAGCAGAAAGATATATTAACAGAGGACAGAATAAAATACATACTTAGTTATTAAAATGAAATATATACAAATATACATATTAGTAGTATGCTAAAATTTATCGTTTTTATGTTTAATATCTAATACAAACAAGAATTCCTAAATACTAACATGAAGTTGTATTATATAAATTTTAACAATAACGCTGAGGTTATCTTGTGCATATAATCTTTTGGAAATATTATGACTGTATCAATAACAATGTACAGCGTAGCTCTAAATTTCCACTAAATATATTAAATTAATGAGAATTATATATTAATAATAATATTTTGTTAGTTTAACTTATCAATGGTTTTTTTTAAACATGCATTTCACTAGTATTTATAAATGTTAAATGAAAGTGACTAATATTAATAATTCCAAGAGGAAAATAAAAACAAATAATATTAACAATTACTTTTATAAATCAAAATTTGAGTTTTGACGTTAGTTTGGTTAATGATGATATTTGCTGTTACTTTTTTTTGTTTTGAATAACGGATTGTACATGTCCGATGAATTTTAAAAAGTTACAACCAGAACGTGATGGGCATTTCTATATAGTTATTTGAATTTAACACTGGTTTTGTGACGATACAAGTAGAATTCAAGAGTTTTGCGCTTTGAGAGACAATGTTCTAAAATAATGAACGGAAAACATGAAACTTACTTTAAGCATGACAAACAAGGAACTTGATTGAAATTGTAAAAAAAATCACAATAAAAACATACCTTATACCTTACAAGAAAAATTACTGTCCGGAACGATAAGAAGGAGAGAATTCAAAAAGAATGATAAATGAAAACTAGACACATGTTTTGTGTAATTTTTAGTGGTAAAAGATACTATTTAATATTATTTCAGGTTTATAATATTATAATATACATGGTAAGACATAAAGAATAGGCCATGTTGTACTTGTATGTTCAGAAGACAAAAACAATATTTTACTTAACAACATTAACGTAGGCCTAAAAATATACTTTTGTTCATAAATCAACCATTTTTCTAGGTACCTGCCGCTTTCAAAAAAGAATATAATTAATCTAATTTGTAGATCGCGTCACATAGGCTATATTAAAGAGAGTAATACTTTTTGTTATTTATTTACAATGTACATGGTTAATAAAGAAAGCCTGAGTTTGCCGTGGAAATTTGATAACAAATTAATATCAAGTAAAAAATTTAAGATTTAAGTGAAACAATTTATAAATAGTAATTAATTTACAATGCCACAAGAAAATAGCTTCAGAACAATATACAGAAAATATCATAAAGTATCTTCTTCTTTGAGTACCGTGCCCAAATTAGGCGTGGGTAACTTTCATGACTATTTGCCGATATTGTTCTCGATCTTGCGCAGCATGTAACAAACTACGTTACATGAGTAATCGAGTACGAATGAGTATTCTCAATACCAATTTAACTTTTTCCCTCGATATTTCTGTTGAGCATTAACTGCAGCATCCAGTATTTGCTAAAGTTTGTTTAGCAGAAAATGGTTGACTTCAATTAGTGCGGTCGTAAATATTATTAAATTTATCTGACTTGGCCCATTGTTAAGACCTTGTACCTCCGGTAAACCATTGTTACCTCAAACTGGGCCTTTTATACTATTATCGGTTAACCCAGGATATTTATAGTCGATACTAATTGAAGTCAACCATTTACTGCTAAACAAACTTTACCTCTAATTATATGCCCCAGATATTCAATTATCTTTTCTATCGCCTTCTTCAAGTCACCTTCGCCTGGACCTATTAGACTTTCCAAATTTAAAGTGCGTTGAGCCCATGATACTTGAAGCATTCTACGATATGACCACTTCTCGAAGGCTTCTAATTTGTTCATCACATTAACCTTCTTGATCCAGATTTCACATGAAACGATTGAGAGAAACAGGCTTATCTCGGTCAAAACAACATACAGGGCGTCCCAAAATGATTAACTCATAGTAGAAGTTGAAAGTTTGGTTAGGAAATTCTGATCACTCGTAGATTATATTTTACACAAAGGTAATTTTATCTGTACCATTTTACATTGTGAAATCAAAAAAAAATATATATATATATATGTAACTAGTTTGAAATTTTTTAAGCGGCTAAGAAGAATACTTTAACGACGAAACATTTCTTAATAAAATTATTTTTACTGATGAGCCAAGACAGACATTTCCAGAGCTAATTTAGAAGAAATAAATTTTCTGTGTAATAGGAGATACCTTCTTGAGTCCATTTAGATTCCATTTCAATTTCAATAGTCATTCAAATTTAATTTTTGGAACTAACTACTTAATCAATATTTTGAATAATTTTAGAACTGGGAAGAAACTAAATAAGAATGTGCTGTAGAAATATGGGTACTTCTCAAGGCTTTAAGGAACAACATAGTTGATCGATATCCGAAGTTCATTCAGTATATATACGATAACGCAGCATAGCAAAAGAAAAAATGAAAAAATAAAACTAAAGAGGAATTAGAATAAGGAGATTTGATTTTCATCCAAGATTTTCACTTTGCGCATTGAGGACATGCTTCGATAGTTAGAATGGG